TGTTTGAGAGAGAGAGACAGACAGACAGACAGACAGGAGTAGGGCAGAGGGAGGGAGACAGGGGACAGAGAATCTCAAGCAGGCTCCATGATGTCAGCATAGAGACCAACACTGGGCTCAAACACACAAACTGTGAGATCATGACCTGAGCTGGAATCGAGAGTTGGACGCTTAATCAGGCACCCCCAGAAACTATTTGAGATAATAAATGTATAGTTTTAAATCACTAAATTTTGAGGCAGTTTGTTATACCCAGGAGTCTTTTACAAGAAAAAGGTTATTTTTTTAATTTATCTACTTGTGTTGTTAGTTAACCTTAGTTTCTCTCACTGTGACTACAATGAACCCTCTTCCTATATCAGGCTCAAGAAATACACTTGCAGGGGCACCTAGGTGGCTCAGTCAGTGGAGCGTCAGACTCTTGATTTTGGCTCAGTTCGTGATCTTACAGTTGGTGAGCTCAAGCCCTGCAACGGGCTCTGTGTGACAGCACGGAGTAGCTTGGGACTCTCTCTCTCCCTCTCTGCTCCTCCCCTGTTCATGCTCTCTCTCTCTCTCCCAAAGTAAATAAATACAAATATAAACATCAAAAAAATACAGATACACATGCAGAGCCAAGAGCCACATTCTGATACACGTCATTGTTTTTATTTAATGTGGGCACTAAACCACTGCCCAGGCAGTAGAAGTGTACAAATACTACCTTGGCCTTGTCTATCGTAACGCTTCCCCACTATGACCTGAAGCCCTTGTGGCGAGATGTACTTCAGAATTGAAACCTTTATACATTTCAGAAAGGGATCCTATCTATGTCACATCTTCAGCGAGGTCCGGGGTGGCAACATGTAATCAGAAATCAGACGCACGAATATATATCTGCAATGAAATGCATCATTATTCAGACCAAATGAGGCAACAGAAGATTAGAAAAAGCCTCAGGATGTTCGGTGCAGTTTAGACTTTGTCACCCAGTTATGAGAAACTTGTTTTTCAGAGCTTTTATATTTCAGAACTGAGTAATAGATGATACACCTCTACGAACTGTACACTCAAAGGTTCCCTCCCTCATTTTTTCCATCAGGTTTTCTCTTGTCAAACAGCTATGGAGTCACTGCTTTATTAAGAAATGCTTTCTTTAACTAGCTTGGCTTTTCATCGATCTACTTCAGCAGTTCCCAACCCTGACTGCATACTAGAATCACCCGGGGAGCTTTAAAAAACACTACTGATACTGAGCCCCAGCTGAGTCAGAATCTCTTGGGGAGAGTCCAGGCATCAGTACTTGCTGCTAGTGTTGTTTCAAAGGTCCCTAGTGATTCCAGGCTGTTTCCGAGGCTGAGAATCACTATTCAGTAAGGTATCTCAGTTTTCCCAAGACTCAACCTTTTAATCTTATAGTCATTTCAACTGGCAGTCCATCTTTCCTTTTTATGTTATTCTCCTCTCATATAATTCCAC